AGATTTCAATGTTTATATATGTGTACATTGCTAATGCGTTGGTACTGTGTTGTTCAATGATGCTCTGAATGGGGGTGCATTTTATTGCCCACAAAACGTTGGGAGTACCATTCCAAAACGCACCAGCCCTGCATTCTGGAATGGTGCTCTCAACGAGGGGCGCATTTTTATTGCTCAGGAAACGTTGGGAGTCCGTTTGAAAACAATTCTCAGCATGGCTTCTTCTCCAGCCGTGTTCTGAATGGACTGCCAACGAGTCCTGGAACGCTTCCATAAGAATGCCACAGCAGGTCGTTGGGCTCTGCTCCCCACCATTCTGAGAATGGGTTCCACAACCCGTTGGCAGTCCATTTCCTCAACGGTTCACAGCCCAACGCCCCCATTATTTGCTGGGAATGGTGATATTGGACCATGCCCGTATGCCGAGTGTTAGTTCACTTTTTCCCTGTAGATTTCAATGGGACTAAATTTCATTCGTTCTCGTGTTGATCAAAATAGCAGGAAAACAGTCCCAAGAAATTGATTAAAATCCCTTCTCAACTTCAAGGTGAAGAACAGAGCCGTGCAGAAGAAACCCTGGCCGAAGACTCAGAAGTTCACACATTTTGCAACACACCATGAAAAAATTCCTACAAGATGTGCAAAGTTAATTAGCCTGTTTTTGTTTGGAAATCGGAAGAATTCTCTCATGAATTCATTTTTTTTAATTTTTGTGAAAATAAAAACCTCAACTTTTTAAGCAATATCAACATTTTGAAACTAAATTCCATAAATATTGGGAGAGTGTACATACCTTGGGACATTGTCCTTATGTTGGAACAGATTCTGTGAGCTATCAAGGTTTCCCATTCGAATCCCCGTTGTGTCTTGTCCGGATTTCTGGATCCCACTGTGCTCAATTGTACCCCAGGATGATTTCATGACGTGTACCCTCTCTTTCTTTTATTTATTTCTCTCTCATCGGCGTTTGAAAAAAAAAAAGTGCGCGAGTAAAATACTGTACTGTATCGCAACAGTCTATTTACACCCGTGCATCAACCGCCATATTGCGTCAACACCTACTACCATTAAACAGTCAGTCGTTCATTAATTCACACACAAATGGCTGAAAAACCCCCTGATGTAGATGGATGATCCTGATGCTGGTCCAGTAGTTGATTAGAGGAATGCTGTTGCTTATATGTGTTCGCATCGTGATTTCTCTCATCGTCGACATGCTTTTACCCGACTCCACGTAATGAACCAAAAGTTCTGATTCATGTTCATCCCAAATCTCTATCCATTTCTTTTTTTGGTTCAATGGTTTCCTGCGCTTTTAAATGGATTTGATAGTTTTGGAAATTAAAAACCGTCAAAGTTAGGAGCTCGCTAGCGTAATAAGCTTGAAGTATGAAATTTCGATGGAAAATTGCTCCAGGAAAAACCGAAGAATTCTCCTTTGTGATAATCCTCGATTATCGCTTTCATGGGAAAATTATCTTGTCATGGAAATGCATGATACTTGATCGTTGAACAGGATTGCCGGATTATTTAAACGTTGCTTATTTTGTGCATGATTCCATTGATAATGAGCAGAAGTGGGATTTTCACACGGACATCGATTTAATTCCACATTACTTTTCTTTTATCAAGTATGGTTTCAATTTTCGATGGCATTGAAAATTATCTTTAATTGATGTGCATCACTGAAAGATTGATGGACAGTGGCATAATGGGCAAGGTACCATCGACGCACCTTGCCATTCGAACGTGCAGGTGAACCAGCAATTGTTTTCAACTTCTAAGTCGTATCCTGCTTTCTTGAATTTCTTAGCATTTCGTAGCATTGTAATCTCTTAGTAAAAATTATAATTATATGAGATTACGAATGTTCGAAGTCTAAAAATGTCCATAACATATGGAAAGCAAGCAAATAAAGTTCTTGTCGATACTGTATAGTGCATTTTCTTTGAAAGCTGTCTATTACACTTTACTAATTTTTACAATGTAATGTTTCATGTTTTCAATAATCTGATTAATTTATATTTTCGTTCTTATTTGTTCAACGAGAAAGGGCTGGGGGTTTTCCGGGAAATACTGTAGTTCCTAAAATTCTAACTCATCCAAGGATGATGGTATGCTCGTACAGGCGGAAAGTGTTTGCTTCAAGTTTTGGTGGCAATCGGAAGATCGAAGCATTCACGATGAAGTCGGATTTGACTGCGATTATTTGAGATGGACAAGAAGCGAAGTTACGTGGTGAGGCCTCCACATGTGGACAGAATGAGTGCTTTGTCATTGTCCCCTTGTATGTGGAAACATCAGCATGTTTGATCACATTTTCCCATGGACTGTACTTACATGGGCTGGACACATTCAGTTGGTTCTCCTGTTAATGAAAAGTTCAGAAGGACTTCCCCCAGAAATTGGAAATTTCTCTCAATTTGAAGGTGACAAAAATATTTTATTCAGCATAATGAATGAATGAATGAACAGAACACTTAATTTGCCGCTTCTCAGAGTTCACAAGGTTCAATCAAGATTTCCACAACCACACCCCCTTCCTACCCAACCCAAATCCACTCAATGACATTTAATCACTTCAGAGCAGGAAATCACAAATTGATAACAAAATTAAAAGAAAATACATTACAACATGAAATAAAACTGGACATCTGACATGTATGCACACACCCATTCAAACAAAAATATTATGCAACTTAAGGCTTTTGCAAATCAAAAATCTGATTCTACTTTATTTCCTAAGTATGGTACATACTGTTTGTCTAAATGGTGTTCAGATGAAGCATTTCCTACATTTTAGAAAGATTTCCACAGCTCATGTTTGAATTTTCCAAGGTGTAGTTGCCGCCATTCATAAATGATTCTAGAATACTGTAAAATTTGTAAGCACCTTATATGAATGGTCTGATATTTAAAACTTGAACATGCGATGACTGTTGAGCTAAACGTAACAGGCCAGAGAAAGCTGCTTCATGGGCCACACGCCAACACCTGGCCCACGGGCCGTATCCCTACTACCCTTGTTTTAAACCCTTCAACTAGCATCTTCTTTTATTTTAAATGAGCTACAATTTTCATTTGTGTGGCCTGCGAAATGTCTGCCTCTTTCCATGTGAACCGCAGCCCAAGCTGAGTTGAGATTCTTGAGAACCACTGAATGTCGAGTAATTCCATTCTAAGTTTTGTGAAAATAAATTGCCCCATTTGTTTAAGAGATTTGAAAATTCTGTTCCCATTTGTATGCATATGTTGGTGAAGTGTCCATATCTCAAGACATTGCTTGGACGTCAAAGCTTTTTATTTATTTATTTCAAGTGTCCCCAAGTCAAATTGTCTGCCTGTTGGGTCCAACTTTATTTAAATTCAATGACCTGCAGCATGTACTTCTGTAAATGGTACAGTAGTAAAGTGTAGTCATATTAACGACCACAACACCCTTCACTTTACGCACGACCCTT